AAAAAAAAAAAAAAAAAAAAAAAAGATCAAAAAAATCTGAAAAAAAAATATGTTATGAAGCCGCACGCGCATGCACGCACGCACAAGTGATACGGCTTATTAAAAAGTAGACAAAAAAAAACGTCCTAGTTGTGTCCAGCCTCTTTTCGGAAGGATCCCTACAACATATTAGCTAGGACCCGACGTCATGCAGAGATACACTTCAAACTTGTACTCCGGGAGGGTGGGCAGAGAATATATAGTCTGGATCAGGGTTGTCGGCGTTCGGGACAGGCCGAACGCCCGAACCTGAACACCCGACCGTTCGGCACCCGCTCTCGATGCATGTTCGACTGAACGCGGACCCCCCCCCCCAAAAAAAAAAAAGAAAAAGGAAAAGAAGATTTCCAAAAAAACTGAAAACAATATATGTTATGCAAAAGAATAAACTAAACAACATTTTCCTCGATGTTACATCCATAATGAAAATTAGAAAAAATAATACAAGAATGAAATTATTGAGTGGGCGAGCACCTTTTTGACACCGCCATTTTTGGCGATTTTTTATTATTTTTATTAATGCCATGAAAATTTATATATGTGTATCTTACATAATAGAGAATCTACAAATAAAGTTTGAAAAAATAATATTTTTTTTCATGCACCGAAATAAAAGAAAAACAAAAAGTGAAAAGAGAGAGAAAACAAATTAGTGAGTGGGCAAGCAATTTTGAACACCACCATCTTTGCTGATTTTTCATTTGTTTTTGGCTGAACAGAATGGCTTCAAAATTAAGAGGACCTTACATCACAAAGAACTCACAAAAACAAATTCAGAAACAAATAATAATATTTAGGTGCCAAAATAATTTTTTGCGGGGTCCGAACCCCTTCAGGTTCGGGCGCCGTACGGGGACCCAAAAGCCCGAACGTTCGGGGGTCAGCTTAGTGGCCTCCGTACGTTCGGCCTGACAACCCTGGTTTGGATTCGAATTCAGGTTTGTGCATCTCAATTACGGGTCACTATGTCTCTGTTTTCTCGCTTTTCTTTTCTTTTCTTTTCTCGTTTTTCTTTTCTTAGGAATATGTGCAGTGGCCCTAAGGGCCTCTACTCACCAAATGCACAAAAGGCAAAACATATGATGGCGTATTATCCCACGTTCTGCAGAAGATTCATTCTAATTTTGCACATTTCGTGAGTAGTGCAGTCAAGCCCTAAGAGTCACGTGCGGAGACCAACAGGACCTAGCTACGTGAGCAACCCATAACTGCTGAAACACAAACCTGAATTCGAATCTTGAGTATATATTCAGTCAGCTCGTGCTCTACTTCATATTCACTACCTGCCTCAATTTTGGTGGGGGGGTCTGCGCTACATGACTACGAGGACCGTTTAGATAGCCTGCATGTGCCGTCTGAGCCGTGTTAAGGGGATCCGTTTTCTCTCTCTCTCTCTCTCTCTCTCTCTCTCTCTCTCTCTCTCTCTCTCTCTCTCTCTCTCTCTCTCT